TTATCAAAAGAACCTAAATGAACCTAAAAAAGAGTTTGTTAGTAAATTGTGTAACAATAGTAGGATAATATAATATATCAAAATTCGCTCTGATAATTCGTTTGTTAAAAAAAAAAAAATTAATTTTTTTAAAAAAATTCAACACAAAAAAAAATTTTTGAGGCGAAATACCCAAAAAGAAGTTTGTAAAAATGAATCCGCCTCAACAATATAGAACTTATCTACTAATTTTATTATTTAAAAAAACGGCTTTAATTTTTTTAAATGTAATTGTTCCACCAACCCAAGGTGTAAAAAGCGAACTTAACTCTTCAATAGAGCAATTGAGGCTCTTTTAGCAGAAAACTTGAAACTGAGTTAAAATTCTATGCAATTTAAAAAAAAACTCTTATGGATACCTACATTCAAAAAAAGTTTTTTCACAGAAACCAAACACATTTTGAACCTTAAAATAGAGCAAATGAGGCTGTTTTAGTAGAGATATCTGGAAGAAGAAAAATAGGATGATATTTTGCAATATTTGTTGATAATTTTCCAAATTAAGACCGTTTTCCGTTTTAAAAAACATCGCTTGCACCCTGGAAAGTAGAAAAGTTGGTAAACGTGTTGCTGCTTTCCCCAAATCTTTACGAGTTGTATTAATCAAGCAAAGCCATTTATTAGAAAAACATTTAAAAATTATTTAGTTATATTTTTGGCATTGAAAAGAAATAATGAAGCATTTAATTTCGCCTCTTCACCAGCCTCCTCCTTAAAAAATCATCGCTCAAAAACTAAACACGCTCGGAAAATCACTTTGAATTTTCATATGCGAGTAGAGCGGTTGAGGCTTTTTTACAGAAAAATTTTACATTTTGCTAATCTTCTTAATTTTTTCGTTCACAAATACCTAGTTCTAAAGCCGAACCTTTAGAAAATAACTGCGAACTCTTCAATGGAGCCACAACACTCTAAGAGAATTTTTGTTCAAGACTCGAGTAATTCGGTCATCTTCAACTGAAAATTTCAATCGACTTGATTCTTCCGCCACCAACCATCTTCCGCATTAAATTTCCCCACTCTTTACAGAAGAGTCCACATTTCCGCCACCACTTTATCCTTCCTGAACGGGGAATTTGAGGTCGAGCCCGGATATGGAGAAAAACGGGACGAAGTCCTGAGAATCGCAGGACTGAAAACCTACTTTATCGTTAAGGTCCTTAAGCCGGTAAGCTCGATTTCATCGGATTCTTTATACATAAAAAAAGTGGATGTGCATTCGAATTACTATTAATTGGTTTCAGTTTGAGCAGCCGCACAAAGTGCAAAACGGCGACACAACCATCACTGCAGACGCAAACAGTGATGAATTTGCCCAAACGAAGGCTCCCGTAGCACCTGAAAACGTAAGAACCTTCTCACTATTAATAGGAGTGAAACACTTCAAATAACCCTCTGTTCAGAGCATGACTAGAGCGAGGGAGGACTCTGAGCAGTTCACCTCCCGTCTGATGAAGGAGCTGGTGAATCGAGATGGTTTCAAGTGAGTGAACAGTGCGCCAAATATCCAGCAGAAATCAGCGTTTTTTGCAGAGAGTTGGCGAAAAACACCAACTGCTTCACACTGAACTTCAAGGATAAAGCGAAAGAACGTGCGTACTACAGTCAGGTGGATGGCGGGGCTACAGTGCCAGTTTACATGCTAATGGTCGTATCAGCTGTAATTATGATAAGTCTTTTCACAATTGCCCCTAGGTGAGAGAGTCTTCTCTGGTTTTACTCCATGGGACTAAACTGATGGTGTTATTCCAGCCTCATCACAGAAAATATCAAGACGATCATAATTCTCTACACATTCCTGGTGCTTTGGGTGTTAGTCATAGTGCTGGTCCGGTGCTTCCATGTGGTAAGTCCTGCACGATTTTACCTATATCAGCTCTAGAACCATTGGAATTATTCAGCGGTGCATTTGGATGGAACCCATCGTATTCTACAAAGCTTACCTAGTGGTCCCTGTATTCACTTTCATCTGCATGCTGAGTATAGTGGTATCGGTAAGTAGCTGAGGGTGAATTTTCCAAATTCTATATGGAATAATCAGCATTTTTGTTCTGTAGAGGGCCTGCCAACCTCTGGAGACATGGAACAAGCCGATCTGCCAGCCGCAGGTCGAAATTTCCGTCTCCTGTATGTTCCCGTTTTATATTGGGGATTTTGGGGCCTTGATTCTCATTGCAGGCGCTTTGCCACATTATGTCAGCTATACGTTTAAAGCCTTCCTGCTAGCGATGGGTGCTGCCTGTCAGTGCTTCCTCAACTTCTACTGTCTGCAGGACGTGCTGGATATTCTACCGCCTGCCAATTCTTGGTCCATGTAAGTAACCGGAAGGTTTTGCCAAGGGTGCAAAGTGTCGTCATTCACGTTTTGTCCCCCTCTCGACGCTTTATTGAGTGGTGGTAAAACGGTCTTCAGATTTGGCTTCAATGATTAAAGCCCCGGACTGGACGGATATTTGCGCACTTTCGCAGTGGTTCTGGATGGGAAATGTTTCCATTGATTTTAGCATTTCTTCCTAGAAGTTCACTTTATTCTTCTTCTCATGGTGTGATGATTCATAGTAGTACATCACTCCAAGTCCCATTGAATAAGCAAACAGGGGCGGATCCAGCTTTCGAGTCAGGGGGGGTCAAGTAGTAAAAATTCAGTCCTTTGTTACAGGTAAAATGTCGCAAATGTATTTCATTTTTAACAACACTTTAAATTACCCTCCATTTTTGCTTATCGCGTGGCAATAGTTATACTTCTCGTTCTTTATTTTAGGTTTGAACACTTTTTCATTTAGCACTGCAAACTTTACTAAAATTTCTTGCCAAACATTCAAAGTATGTTTTCATTAAAAAAATGTATGTCCACATACTTTTCGCTGTGTGAAATATTTCCATAATTATATTAATATGAATTTTGCAAAAATTAGAACAGAAAACATACAGCAGTACGTTATATTGTATGACAAAGCAAATAAATATTTGCTTTTAAACGATTTAGTAAGAAAATTCTTGCAATTATAAATGTGACTACTTTTTGGAAAAAAACGCTTCTGCTTTATACCATTTCAAGTCCCATTAAACAAGCAAATTCTACTAATAATATTAACAGTAAGAATTAATGAAACATTATTAGAATTAAGAAAAAAGCACTTTAAAAAAAGTAGATCTAAACTTGCAATTTTGTGTGATAGAAAAAAATCTACTTGGCCATTAGTCCTTAAAAACATTACTTTAAAAAATGTTAAACTCCGAAATGAAACAAGCTGCGAATCGACATGATGAAACAGAGAAGCAAAAATTTGGAGTTGACTTGCTGTTTTCCTAATTTTTTTAAAATTGTAAAACGACTTTTGTTTAAAAAGTTCGTTTTCGAGTCAGGGGGGGTCAAGTAGTACAAATTCAGTCTTTTGTTACAGGTAAAATATCGCAAATGTATTTCATTTTTAACAAAACTTTAATTTACCCTCCATTTTTGCTTATCGCGTGGCAATAGTTATACTTCTCGTTCTTTATTTTAGGTTTGAACACTTTTTCATTTAGCACTGCTAACTTTACTAAAATTTTTTGCCAAACATTCAAAGTATAATGTTTTCATTAAAACATTTTATGTCCACATACTTTTCGCTGTGTGAAATATTTCCATAATTATATTAATATGAATTTTGCAAAAAATTAGGACAGAAAACATACAGCAGTACGTTATATTGTATGACAAAGCAAATAAATATTTGCTTTTAAGCAATTTAGTAAGAAAAATCTTGCAATTATAAATGTGACTACTTTTTTGAAAAAAACGCTTCTGCTTTACACCATTTCAAGTCCCATTAAACAAGCAAATTCTACTAATAATATTAATAATAAGAAGTAATGAAACATTATTAGAATTCAGAAAAAAGCACTTTAAAAAAAGTAGATCTAAACTTGCAATTTTGTGTTATAGAAAAAAATCTACTTGGCCATTAGTCCTTAAAAACATTACATTAAAAAATGTTAAACTCCGAAATGAAACAAGCTGCGAATCGACATGATGAAACAGAGGAGCAAAAATTTGGAGTTGACTTGCAGTTTTCCTTAAGTTTTGACGATTTTTTTAAATTGTAAAACGACTTTTGTTTAAAAAATTCGTTTTCGAGTCAGGGGGGGTCAAGTAGTACAAATTCAGTCTTTTGTTACAGGTAAAATATCGCAAATTTATTTCATTTTTAACAAAACTTTAAATTACCCTCCATTTTTGCTTATCGCGTGACAATAGTTATACTTCTCGTTCTTTATTTTAGGTTTGAACACTTTTTCATTTAGCACTGCGAACTTTACTAAAATTTCTTGCCAAACATTCAAAGTATAATGTTTTCATTAAAAAATTTTATGTCCACATGCTTTTCGCTGTGTGAAATATTTCCATAATTATATTAATATGAATTTTGCAAAAAATTAGGACAGAAAACATACAGCAGTACGTTATATTGTATGACAAAGCAAATAAATATTTGCTTTTAAACGATTTAGTAGGAAAATTCTTGCAATTATAAATGTGACTACTTTTTTGAAAAAAACGCTTCTTCTTTACACCATTTTAAATCCCATTAAACAAGCAAATTCTACTAATAATATTAATAGTAAGAATTAATGAAACATTATTATGAAGATATAAATATGGGCTTTTATTACGGAAAAAATGTATGAGCGAAATATATATTAACCGAAGAAATCACAATTTTTTGGTTGGCTTGTTTTTCTTCTTTCATTTCGATGACTTTCATATTTTTTGTTTAAAATTAAATGTTTATGCAATAATAAAGCTGTCTATTTTTGTCTACCTATAGCGGACGCAATTACGTATAGAACAAGTGAAAATTTGCTTAATAGATAAACTGTTGTACATTGACAATAATTTTACTTTGACAAAACTTTAAATCACACTCTTTTCTTTAGTTTAGAGCGGCAGATGGCCTTTTCTAGAACTTTTTGCTGAATTTTGCATTATAAAGTTTTTATTAACATATTTGACTTTCTACTAAAAGCAAAGAAATAAAACAAAGTTAAAAAGAAACATTTGTCTAAAATCTACATTAATCATTTAATGAGAAAACACTTACTAAGTATGACTGTCTTTTTTTAAACGTGCTCTTGTTTTACCCGATGTTAACATGATATCAAGAAATAAATCTAGCGTTTAATTACGGAAAAAATGCATGCGAAAAATATATTTTCCAGAATAAAACCCAATTATTTGGTTTGTTTGTTTTTCTAATTTCATTTTGGTGATTTAAAAATGAAATAAATAAAATGTCGTACATTTAATTAACTTTTAAGTCATTTTATTATTAACAAACTTTAAACTACACTCAATTTCTTATTATCACTTACTTGTATTGCAGTTTTCTGTCCTTTAGTTTAGTTTTAAACTCTTTTTATATTTAGCATGGCAGATCGACATTTATTTCGATATCATTTTTTTTCCAAACAATTGATTTATAACATTTTGATTACAACTGAATATTCACAATACTGCTGTTATGTAGATTGTATGACAACTGCAATCTACAGTAAAACAACAAAGGTTTCATAAAACGGAATATAACGGAATAAAAAAGGTAAAACAACAAAAGTTCACCTTTCACCTTCATAGTTGGAACTCTTCCTTTGCGTTCAACTGTTGAATATCCAGCATGCTATTGATATAAGTTGTAGAGCATAAAGATGTTGTTTTTTTTTTAACTTAAAATTAAAAAACTACTTTTGAATTGAAGCAACTTCACTTATCGAATTCGAAAACCATAAATTTTGGTTATTTTTTTCAATTTTTGAGCCATTCCCTCCACCAGATTTGCACAGGATTTTTCAGCAGCGGTTGGCATAAAATGAGTATCAGACAGGAGAAAATACACAGGAGAAAATTTCCTCCATTTCTCCTGTAAGAATCTCTTCAATCCAATTCTTCGTCAATTTTGTAGTAGCAGTAGTCAAGTTTAGTGTAGCTTCCACCATGGTTGCCGGTTTTTACAAAAATGCCTCAATCAACGCGCTGATTAGTCAGAGTTGGAGCGCTATTGCGCAGACGAAACGTTGCTTTATTAATGCTGAAAGTGTAGTTTCAGTTTGGCGATTCTTCAATTTCTTATATGCTCACAAATTTATGGTCATAAAATACGGTTTACCGCCCAGCATGTTTTTTCGAAAATTCCTTTATGCATTAGAGTTCTTAGCCTTGAGCACGAATACATAGAGGAAACGTTGCTCGATTAATACCGCAAGTGCCCCTTTAGTATCAGCTTTCATCAATTTTCGGGATGTTTTTAAGTTTGAGGCCTGCAAAGGCCGACTTGCTCCCACTAGATTTGCAAAATATTTTTCAAAAATTCGTGCCGCTAATAGTGCATCAGGCATAGAGAAAACTTTGCTCTATTACTCCTTCTATCGTCGATTCGGTTTCATTTTTACCAAATGTTTGGAATGGTTTTTAAACTTGGAGATTTAAAGCACTGTTTTACCAGTACAAGGTTTGCAAGAGTTTTTTTTTTAATTCGTCACTAAAAATTTGGATGAGTCAAACGGCTACATTCAAAATTATTAAATAGAGGCAGATTTCTCCTATTAGTCCAGCTGAGTTAGACTTAGTCTCACTTTTGGTCAATTTTTAGGAGGTTTTTAAGTCTGCGGTTTCAAGCTGCTGTTTTGCTACCACCAAGTTTGCATCAGATTTTTGAAAAAAATAATCACTCTCACCAGGGATTAGAAGAAACGTTGCTTTCAGCATCTTTCCATTAACACTTCTTTCGCCAATTTTATCTCAGTTGTCCTCAATTTTCGGGAGTTTTTCAAACGTGAAGTTTCAAGGTTCTGTCTTGCTTCCTCCAAGTTTGCAAGAGATTATTCAAAAAATTATTACTCTGACTCAGGGTTCGAGGGAAGGCCGCTTAAAGCATCATTCTATAGAGACAGCTTCTCTCTTTTAGCACTGCGATCACCAGTTTAGTCTCACGTTTTCTCAATTTTGTATAATTTTTTAACTTTTCGGTTTGAAGATGCTGTTTTGCTTCCACCAACTCTCTCTGATTCCGCGTTAAGAAGAAGGCTGCTTTCAGCATAAATTAATAGATGCCATTTTCCTCTATTAATATGGCGATCACCAGTTTATTCTCACTTTTCCTCGATTTAGGTGAGTTTTTAAAGTGTGAGGTGTCAAGGTGCTACTTTGCTCCCGCCAGGTTTACGTCACATTTTTCAAAAAATCGTGACTCTAACCGGTGCCCCGAAACAAGGCTACTTTAAGCATCATTATATAGAGACAGCTTTTCTCGATTAGCACTGCGATCACGAATTAAGCCTCACGTTTCCTCAATTTTATGTATTTTTTTAACTTTACGGTTTCAAGATGCTGTTTTGCTTCCACCAAGTTTGCAACAGATTTTTTTCTATCGACTCTAATTCCGCGCTAATAAGAAAGCTGCCTTCAGCATCATTTAATAGAGGCCATTTTCCTCTATTAATATGGCGATTGCCAGTTTAATCCCACTTTTCCTCGATTTTGGAGAAGTTTTTAAGTGTGAGGTGTCAAGGTGCTACTTTGCTCCCGCCAGGTTTACAACACATTTTTCAAAAAATTGTGATTCTAACCGGTGACCCGAAACAAGGCTGCTTTAAGCATCATTCTATAAAGACAGCTTTTCTCTTTGAGCACTCCAATCACCAATTTAGTCTAACGTTTCCTCAATTTTGTGTAATTTTTTAACTTTACGGTTTCAAGATGCTGTATTGCTTCTACGAAGTTTGCAACAGATTTTTTTGCGACTCTAAATCCGTTTTAGGAAGAAGGCTGCTTTAGGCATCGTTCTATAGAGGCATCTTTTCTCTATTTATACTGCGATCGCCACTTTAGTCTCACTTTTCCTCGATTTCGGAGAGTTTTTTGAGTGTGAGGTTTCAAGGTGCTGTTTCGCCCTGCCTGGTTGGCAACACATTTTTCAGAAAATCGTAACTCTAACCGATGATAAGGATCCAGGCTGCGTTCAGCTTCATTTAATGGAGACAACTTTTCTATATTAAGTCTACAATCACCCATTTAGATTTGCATTTTCCCAAATTTTGGGAGTTCTTCCAATGAATGAGTTGGAGGGCTGTTTTTCTTCCATCAGGTTTACAAGAGATTTTTCAAAAACGTCTCACGCAAAGTCGGAAGTACTTTTGAAGTGTCTTTTGCTACCATTTAACAGAAGACGTGTTGGTCTGTTCAATAATATTCAAATATTGGTGTTCAATAATTTAATTTTTTCTACTTCAGCGTTTAAAAATGCAGTTTGGTTTTTGAAAATTGTGAAATTAAACGAGAATCAACTAGAAAACTTGTTTCAAGGTCTGTAGCTTTGAAGAAATCTTCTTTTATTTATCCTGCAGGCCTAACTTTTTCAATTTCCAGATATTTTTATGTTTGAGTTAGTTGAGGTCTAAAAATGCAGTTTGGATGCCGCTTGGTTTACCCGAGGGTTCTGAAAAGTTTGCCGCTCAAAATAACTTTGATTTAAAGGGTCGCTTTCAACATTGCTGAGTAGAGGAATCTTTACTCTATAAATCCTGAAGACTCCATTTTCTCTAACTTTTCAGTAGTTATTGAGAATTTTTGAACAATAACTCCAGGTTTGAGTTTTTCTGGTAAAATTCTCGTAAGTTTCTTTAAATGAACTCACGAAGGGCCTGATTCTTTAACGGAAAAAGTTACATTTTTAGCGTTTTCTATGCGATATTAATGTGTTGTTACAGATTGTCCACTCCAAAATACAGCTTGAGCTGCGTGACAATTGGCGTGACAATTTCCCTCATCTACCTGGGCCGACATGTAAGTAAACGCTGATTTTTTCACTATACATATAAATATACGAACTTTCCATAAATAATAATGTGTGCAATCAAGCCGGGTCTCCATCGAATCATCCTCTACAAGCACAGAACAGAGCATCTGGCCTAACTGCTTAATCTTCATCTAGATGAACAAAGTCCAGCGAGTGCTTTTCCTTTGGCGTTGCGAAGTCAAAGAGCAACGCCGCTGCGCTGAAGACTTAAAGCGAAGAAACGAAGCGCTGGTTTACAACATTCTGCCCTCCCATGTGGCCGCCCATTTCATGGGGAACCGCAACCGAAACCACGACGAACTCTATTCGCAAAGTTACGAGGAAGTCGGTGTTCTGTTCGCTTCCATGCCTAACTTTTCAGGTTAGAACCCGCTGAAAAACTGGCCAAGTTTCGACTAATCTTTGGCCCGATTTTTTAGACTTTTACTCCGAAGAGACTGTCAACAATCAAGGCCTAGAATGTTTGCGTTTCCTCAACGAAGTGATTTCGGATTTTGACGCTGTAAGTACACACAAGATTTCCACATCGCCCAGCATGGGCTTAGAGGATGTTTTTTTCAGCTACTGGAACTTCCTCAGTACTGCGATATAATAAAAATTAAGACTATCGGCTCCACCTACATGGCAGCCAGCGGCCTAAATCCCTCAAGACTAATACAGGTAGGTCATATGCTCGACTCAAACAGTGGGCGTGTTTTTGTGTTTACAAATCGAGGAATCGTACATTTGTGGTCCATTTTTGGGACGCTCTATATGCAAAATTTAAAGTGCAAGGTGTGCCCTTTCGAAAACACTATGTGGCATGTTCCAGAGTTTTCCAGCAGAGTTGCAAAAAGGACGCGCAGTTGGTTTTAATTTAAACCGCAGCAACTGTCATTGATATTTTGTAAAAAGTTAACTGTGGAAGTTCACACGGTCGCCTTCGGGCCTTTGATCACACTCCACCTTAGTACGAATGGCTGAATCTTTGATTTTAAACCCCAAACATTCAAAAGAACACAGGGAATAGGTTTCTAAATCAACCGAGGAATAGTACGTATCGTGGTTTTTTTCTGGAACACTCTATATGCCAGTTTTACAGTGCACCTAATGCCCATTTATAAACAGTAATTTGCGTCCCCGAAAGTTTTTTTCCAGAGTTGTAAAAATTAAACGAAAATTCAAGCTAGTTGATTTTGACATGAATCCCTGGAAATTTGGCAAAACGCGTACGCTGCAAGTAGAAACAGCCAAGCCTGAGCACCTGATCATATTCCACCTAGGAGTACTAGGCTGAAAATTTGCTTCTAAATCCTCAAAACCTAATGGATCATCGCCAATAAGCTTCAGGGTAGAATTCAAAAATTCCGGAATAAACCGCGTGTTCGTACCTAAGGTGATAACTTTTTGGGACACTCTATATGCATATTTTCAAGTGAGCGTTATGTCCCTTAAGAAACAGCATATCGCATGCCCAAACCTTTTTTGGCAGAGTTGTAAAGTTAAAATTAATATAAAATAGTGGATTTTTACTCAGATGCCTGAAAATTTTATCAATAATTTAGCAAAAAGTGAACAAAGGAAATTGAGACAATCGACTTGAGGTACCTGATCACATTCCACCTAGGAGTAATAAGCTGAAAATTTGTTTCTAAAGCTTCAAAACCTAATGGATCATCGCCAATAAACTTCAGGGTAGAATTCAAAAATTCCGGAAGAAACCGCGTGTTCGTACCTAAGGTGATAACTTTTTGGGACACTCTATATGCTTATTTGAAAGTGCGCGTTATGCCCATTAATAAACAGCATATCTCATGCCCAAACCTTTTCTGGCAGAGGTGTAAAGTTAAAATGAATATAATAATAGTGGATTTTTATTTAGATGCCTAGAAATTCCATCAATAATTTAGCAACAAGTGAACAAAGGAAGTTGAAACAGTCGATTTGAGGTACTCGATCACATTCCACATAGAAGCAATAGGCTGAAAAGTTGCTTCTAAAACCTCAATAAGCTTCAGGGTAGAATCCAAAAATACCGGAATAAACCGCGTGTTGCGCTTTAAGGTATCATTTTTGGGGACACTTTATATGCAAATATTAAAGTGCGAAAGATTCCCATTTAGAAAAAGTGTTTGGCATGCCTGGGTGTCATTCCGAAGAGTTGTCAAGATAAAATGAAAATCCAACCTGGTTCAATTTGAAATAGTGACCAGCACCTTGTCAGAAAGTGGACTTTAAATTGTTAAATTGTTAAATCAGCCGACTTCAGGTTCTTGACCAGATTCCGCAATAGAATAATGGGTTGAATCTTTGCTTCTAAACTCTCAGAACCCAATGAATCGTGGCAAAAGAGCTTCACGATCGAATCCAAAAACTTCGGAATAAACAGAATGCGTGCTCATACTTAATGTGGTGTGTTTCAGGGACACTCTATATGCAAGCTTTAAAGTGTAACACATGCCCATTAGGAAACACCATATAGAATGCCCGGACGTTTCCTTTAAGAGTTGTAGATTTAAAATAAAAATCCTAAAGTTGGCATATTCTCAATATGCATATTCAACGGTGTTTGGTCCTGCCAGAAGAAAGATCCAGCATGCGCTAAACACTGTGTAGCATTTGAAAGACTTTGAGCGATTATAATGTTTAAACTTAAAATTGAAGGAATACCTCCCAATCTCCATGCGATCTATTCTGTTGCCTTTGCAGCCAAAAGATCCCATAGAGATCCGTTGGGCCCACCTGAGCCTCCTGGTGGAATTCGCTTTGGACCTAAAGAAGGCGCTGCAGAGCATCAACGAGCAATCGTTCAATCACTTTGTGCTCAAAATGGGCATCAACCACGGCCCCATCACGGCCGGAGTGATCGGAGCGAGAAAACCGCACTATGACATCTGGGGAAACACGGTCAATGTGGCATCCAGGATGGAGAGTACTGGAAAAGCTGGATGCATTCAAGTGAGAGGTGGAGGATAAGGTAGTGAATGTCCTGCTGAATTTGGGTGATTTTTAGGTAACTGAGGAGACCTGCCAGATTTTGAGAACTTTTAATTACCAATTTGAGCAGCGTGGGCTGGTGGCCGTCAAAGGCAAGGGTCAGTTGATGACTTACTATCTACAAAGTTGCTCTGAAAGAGCCACGCCGCCAACTACTCCAGCTTCTCCAGTGGGAGGGACCACGATGGAAACCGTCGATGAGGAGGAGGAGTCAAGCCCAGCTGTCAGCTCGAGGTCTGATGAAGCGGCAGAAAGGTCCGTTATAGAGTGTCCGCTCAAGGTTGAAGCGGACGACATTTGTATCCAGGAAAAAGACCAGGCTGAAATAAAGGACTCAAACGAGGCCACTTTGCTTCTAAGCTCTTGTAAGGATTGACTCACTCATTCGCTCAAGGGCCAGCTTTCAATTAATTTTTGCTTCATCTACTAAAAAAGGCCAAATTAATTAGCACAAATTTTTCGTTTCGGGGAACAATTATTTTTATAGATTTTTCTTTAGGAGGTAGAAACAAAGACTTAGGTTGTGAAAGTCAACTTTAGAACAATATCAGTAGGCTTAGAGCCTGAACGCAGGTTTAGTCACTATTCAGCCTCAATGTAATGCAGCTAAAGGCATGCATTCTAATCAATCTCTGGCAGTGAAACATCTACAATCATCCTAACTTTAGGCCGTAGATTAGCGCCATTATCAAATATATTGTATGTTAACATATCACTATATTTTCTCTAACATTTCCAGAGGGCTGTAATGGCTGGATGAGGATGAACTTAAGGAAAAGTAGCGCTTTTTCAGCTAAAGAGTTTCAGATTGTTCCATAWGGAACAACCTTAACCAGTTGCTGCTATACTGGGAGGTGATARTAGTCAAGGMCAATATCAGACGTCCCAACATTGAAATGGGTGTGAATTTCGTACTGTGGTTCAATTTTGGGACACCCAGTATGCAAATTTTCATCAAGCTACGCCCACGTAGAAATGGCACTTGGTGTGTTCAAGAGTTTTTCCAGAGTTGAAAAGTTGGAGCAGATAGAGCWTTGATATTGATACACATACCAGAAGGTTTCATCGGTAATTTCGCAGGAAGGTGACTATGGAAGTTCGAACAGGCGACCTCAAGCAACTGGCCACTTTCCACCTTAGAGTGATGGTCCGAATATTTGCTTTTAGAGCCTCACAGTTTAATAAATCACCGCCAATAGGTCTCCGAGTGGAGGCCAAAAGTGCCAACATATACCCAGGATTCTTTGAAATAGTGATATATTTTTGAGACACTCTATATGCAGAAGTTGAAGTGCACGATATGCGCGTTCGGAAAAAATATTTGGTATCCCTGAACGTTTTTCAGCGGAATTGTAAAATTGAAATTGAAGCGGATTGTAATCCCTCGATGATAATTTGCCAGAAAGAAGATGTTGGATGCTAAAACTGTCAATTTCAGGCACCTTCTCTTATTCTACCGTGAAGTGGTAGRTTTAATGTTTGCTTTCGAAGCTTCAAAATTTAATGAAGCATCGGTGTAGAACCCAAAAATGCCCAAATAAACCGAGGAATGGAACATATTGCGATTCATTTTGGGACATATATGCAAATTTTAAACTGCAAGTTATGCCCATAAAGAAACAGTATTTTGGATGCCCCGACGCTTTCTGGCAGAGCTGTAAAGTTAAAATGAATATGAAAAACGTGTATTTCTGCAGAGATCCCAGGAAGCTTCATCAATAATTCGGCATAAGGTGAACTTTAAAAGTGGAAATAGTTGACTTCAGCGCCGTTATCACATTCCGCCTTGCAGTGATTGGCTGCATATTTGCTTACAAAGCCTCAAAACCTATTAGATTATAGCCAATAAGCTTCAGAGTAAAATCCAAAAATTCTAGAATAAAACGCGTCTTTGTTCCTATGGTGATGACTTTTTGGGATACTCTATATGCAAAGTTTAAAGTGCAATATATGCCCACTCACAAAATGTATTTCAGATGCCCAAACAATTTCCGACAGAGATGTTTTTACAAAGATTCCAAGAAGTTTTCTCAATAATTCTTCAACTTCTTCAGCGACCTTATCACAAACCACCTTGCAGTGACTGGCTGCATATTTGCTTCTAAAGCCTACCTACCTAATGGATCATAGCCAATACTCTTCAGAGTAGAATCCAAAAATTCTGGAATAAACCGCGTGTTTGTACCTAAAGTGACGACTTTTTGGGACACTCTATATGCAAATTTGAAAGTTCGAGTTACGACCATTAACAAACAGTATTTCGCATGCCCCAATCTTTTCTGGCAGAGTTGTAACGTTGAAATGAATCTAAAAATAGTGGATTTTTCATAGATCCCTGCCAGTTTCATCAATAGTTTGGCAAAATGTGGACTTTGGAAGTTCAAACCTGGCAGTGATTGGCTGAAGATTTGCTGCGAAAGCCTCAAAACCTAATGGATCATCGCCAATAAGCTTCTGAGAAGACTCCAAAAATTCCGGAATAAACCGCGTGATGGTACCTAAAGTAATCATTTTTGGGGCCACTCTATATGCAAATTTTAAAGCGCAAGACATACCCGTTTGGAAACACTATTTGGCATCCCCGAGCGTTTTGCCGCAGAGTTGTAAAGTTAAAACCAAATCCAAAGTAGTTGAATTAGCCATAATAAACTTTCATTCGTAATTTGGCAAACAATGACTTGGGATGTTGACACTGGCGACTTCAGAAACGTAATCGAATTCCGCCTTTGCCTAATTGGCGCAAAATTTAATGGATCATCGCGAGTAGTCCTCAGAGTAGAATCCAAAAATTTCAGAAGAAACCCGCTGTTTTTTGACAATGTGGCACACTTTGAGGACACTCACTATGCCAAATCTATAGCCCGAGACACGCCCATCAGGAAACACACATTTTCGCCCCTAATGGGTGTTTGCCAGAGTTGTAGATTTGGCTACGAAATGCAACAGTGCATCTCGGCAACTAGAGCTTTCCAAACGGTTCATCCTTATCTTGACCACTTAATAATATAGAGTTTTCCGCGCGATTGATCATTTCATTGTCTCCTGACTCTTCAGTTTGTAAAATTCTCTAGAATAAGAAAAAAGGATGTTAAATATTATACAATTGTACTCAGCTTTGTTGTTTTATTCCCACTGCAAGCAAACGCCCCCGAAATAGAGAAACTTCAGAATATATTACGGTAAGTCGAATAAAGTTTAATAGAACTAGCAAATTAATAATATTCCTTTTAAGACTATCACAAATTGGTGGCTGGTGCCAAGTCGCACAGCGCCATCTAAGTGGCTTTGAAGCTGGAGTTCCGGCCGATAATAAACCTGTTGTTTTTTGCCCCGCCTGGGGCAAGAAGCAAACCTCACGTCCTCACAAATTTGTACACTACCGCGAACACCAGTACACTAACCAGCACTAGCACGAGCACAGTTACCACTTTGGCAAAAGCGTTCACTCCATTTTCAGTGTTGTCTAAAGGGCGCGTGTTGGCGCTTTGTTGAGATCGTCTTCGTTTTCCTGCCAATCCTCTGGCTAAAGCAGGGAATGCCAGACTTTGAGTAAACGTCAACTTGTGCACACTCTCACTCAAGGAATAAGGGCCTACGCTGCCTCTGGCCGCCGCTCGAAGTAGGGCGTATTCTAGATCAAGGGCGTCGAATAGGGAATATCGGGCTGTCATGGTGGAGGATCGCCTACGACTGTCTGATGAGTTACTAGCAGCTGAAGTACATGCCATAATTCCTAAGTAAGGAAAAAACTCAAGGGGCTGTTCAGCGATTTGAAGCCTACGTTACGAAAAATTCATTAAACCTTACCACTAACAGCAGCAATTGAGGTGAGCGATGAGGTGGTTGAAGATGACAACGATGTCAAGTGGTTGCTTGGCTGCTCCGAGATGTCCTCCATAGAGGTTTGCTCGGGTGAGGGCACTTGGTAGAGTCTGAAGAGGCGCGCATGGTCTGGATGGAGGAGCGAAGTGCTCGGCCTTCTAACGCTGGGAGTGGGCGATGTGCTGGGAGAGGCTGGAACTGGAGGCGGAAGAGGCGACACCTTTGCAAAAACATCTACTTAACAACCCACTAATATTCTGGAAATCAAAGTTTTCCTGATGAGGAACAGCCTCGGCGAATAGTTAACTATAAAACCTGGACCCAAATAGGAAAATGGCATGCTCAAAGGCGATCCATCATCATTAGTCAGGCGCTGCCCGCAAATCTTAAGTCCCCATTCCAGGCCATATAACGAACACATTTTTATTTGATTTATTACAATTCAGGCTTTTATGTCCACGTTTTCACATCCAGTCATTCTGTGGCTGGATAGATCAGGACGCAAGTCCAGCCAGATAATGGACTGGAGGAGAAAAGGCCCATTAATAAGAAAAATTTATATAAATTATCCATTGCTTCAGATGGGCTTAAGAGCATGTTTACAAGAAACTCTGGATTTTTAGCAACTGGGCGATTTTTTATGTGATTATACGAGAGGATAAAGAGCAAGATAGTGTTGTGAACGGGAGAACCGCTTCCTCAAAAATTTGTTAGAAATTAATGTTGAGGTTTAGAGTTTAGAGTGCGCAGATTTGTAAGCTACACTTGCAGTCTGCAGACTGGAATACAAAAATGGCAAAATAACTCGGGGATTTGTGAGTATTGCAGCTAACTTTTGGGACACTCTGTATGCAAATTTTAATGAKCAAGATTYGCCCATTTGGAGACAATAACCGGCGCCGCAGAGTTGTAAACTTTCTGGAARGTCACCATTAGACTTGAGGGAGGGGCGAAACATGCCAAAATAAACCGGCTGTTCYTYCATATTGTGGTTTAAGTCTGGGACACCCTATATGTGACGWAWATWCGCGAAACTATGTCCACTTGACCCTACAAATCGGCGCGAAGAAGAGTTTTTCCGSAAAGTTCTAAACGTGTGAATTTAGAATGGAATCCAAAAATTCCTGAATGAAGCGAAGATTTGTAGGTCCGRTGGCTACCGTTTGGGACACTCTATATGCAAATTTTTGTTGGCAAAACATGCCAATTTTAACACACTGATCGGTATTTCTCGGGTTTTTTTGGCAGGGTTCTAAATTTCACTGGCAGTCTTCAGAGTGGAATCCGAAAAATGCCGGCGTAAACTGGGGATTTGAGTGTTTTACGGCTACTTTTTGAGACACCCTATATGCAAATTTTAGTTAGCCA